ATTTCTTCGCCGCCGTTAACAGGGGAAGGGGAGAGGAGGGGGAGAGACGGGGGAGGGGGGGGAGAATAAGGGAGGAGACCATTCACAAATACGGGTCGATTGGCTTTAATCCGAGACAATGGAAGCCGTGAATGGAGCAGAGGTTGCAGGAGGCATGAATGAACAAGCCTAAAAGGAGTGAAACCGGGACTGGAAAAGCGTTAGAAAGTGAACACATTTACACTGTGACTTTGAGTATGAACTATATATACACATACATACACACACGCGCGCGCGCAGACAAACAGAGAGAGAGAGAGAGAGAGAGAGAGAGAGAGAGAGAGAGAGAAGAGAGAGAGAGAGAGAGAGAGAGAGAGAGAGAGAGAGAGAGAGAGAGAGAGAGAGAGAGAGAGAGAGAGAGAGAGAGAGCAAGAGAAAGAAAGAAATTTCTCGCGAACAAAATGACAACGTCCACTTCAAATCAACAAGCACCGACCTTGCAAACAAACCGGACAAAAGGGAACAACCGCCACGACCTCACACGCCGACGGCCAAGTGTCTCCGCCGCCCGCCCCGCCTCCCTCCACCAAACGCCTAACTGACCCTCCCACTTCCCCCGGCCGCTCTAACAGCCGTCTATCAAGAGCCACACTTATCGAACTCTGCTGTCCCTCGGCTTAGCAAACAGCACTCACCCTGAGAGCCCCTGACTACCGATCGCCAGCTCGTAGTGAAGACCCGGTGCTGTTGCTATCTACTTCTCCCTCCTTAGACAGCTTCTCTCTCCACCACTAAGACGATACCGACTGCATGCTGTCTATTTTTGTGAATCTGTTTACCAAAAACAACCCTCGCTGGGTTATAGAGCAGGAACATAGTCGCATATTGTTCTGAGTTGTTTACTATCCTTAATTCTCCATGTATAAAAAAACTAATTAGTCATTTGTTTTATTACGCCAAATAATTAAGGAAAATTTGCAAGATGTATCAAAATTTTACATTCTAAGACTCCTCATCCTCAGATCATTCTCAGCAGCCACACTAAACCCTTCATTGATAAAATTCCTTATCCTAATAAAGGGAAAAATCCATCGTAGTCCCTGATAACAAAAAATCCGACACGCAAAAGTTTCCCGTCACAACAGCGCCATCATCGCCTGCCACGCTGCCGTCTGCGAGTGAAAACGACTTGCGGAACGACCGAAGAATACCAACTAAACTCCCGTCGCCATATTCAGCGAAGGCCAACGCCCACACTGTAAGCCGCACGTGGGCGCGAAGGCGTGCGGGTGCGGGGGCGGATCCCCTGCCAGAGCGCCTGATGGGAGCAGGGAAAGGGGGGGAGGAAGGGGTATCAATGGGCGAGGCTGCAACATGGATATGGCCAGCGCGGCTCGTTTACTACCCACCCGACGAATGTGTCTGGCGGGGATAAATAACCAATCGCTCGCCTCCCTGCCACGGCCGGCTCCTGCACTCTCCCTTTCCCTCGGAAGCCTCTCGCGTGGATAAGGAAGATGTTCCCACAAGCAATGCACCAGTCGCGTCATCTCCCGTGCAAGAAGCTGACAAAACATTGAAATATGGCGGAACTGCCACCTTCCTTCGCCGCGCCAAGGGATGTGAATGCACCTTGAACGGGCGACCGCGACACGTATGCTCTGGAGATAACAGCCAATATCCCCTTTCATTTTCTATCTATTCCTTTATTTCCTTTAACTAACCTCCTCGGCTCCCCTATTCTCCCCCAGCCTCGTTTAATAGGACGGCTAATTTACGCAAAATGTAACCCTACGAAAAATACAATCATTTACAAATTGGTCTTCTATCCCCCCCTCACTCTGTCCTCCTTGCCCTGACCTCGTGACCTTCAAGATAAACAGTAAACACTGACAAAGAGGTTCTCGAGGGTCCTTTTAGGGCTAATTCTAAGATGTTTTTGTTTTCACCCGACAATTTTCAGTCTCTTCAGCAACCTAAGTTCGTGTGAAAAAAATCGTAGGTATTGAGCCAGGCTAACTAGTTTATTCTCAAATTCTATTTAGCATTAATTGAGGTTGCTGGTGTATACCCAATGCAGGCAATTGTCGGGTAGACCATATTTGGAAGAAGCAGAGGTATGCCGTTTTGAACATTTAAAGAAAGATTTTGAATTCGCATTAAACCTAGGGAAAGCCGTCGATTTCGCAGAGCTGGCTAGATAATCTTCCCACGCATAATCCCAAACAACAGACGATAATGAGATAAGAAGATCCTAGTCTGCATCGTGAAAAAGCATCATTTAAGATAAAAGTTGGTAAACATCATAGCGACCCCGACCAAAGGCGTTTTCTCTGACCCCGGCCGCCCACTCGAGGGGTGACTCACCTAAAGGAGTTGTCGGTGCAGCTAATAAACAGGGTGTGGACCAGCGTGTGGGCTAGAACCTGTAACAGGTTTGTATGTGTTGTATGGTACACCTCCAATCACCATGCATTGCGTCCGCTTTATAAGAGCGGAGCATTTCTTACACGCAAACGAATTAAAGGAGACTGCATTCTCAACTTTGCTAACAAGTTATATAATTATTTATATAAGAAAAGAAAAGTAATATACACACCGCGTTCCGTATATAGCGAATTAATGAACGGAATGAAAACGGCAACTGAACGAAATTAAAAATTCGCATAAAAATACCAGGCTGTGACTTGCAGGACAGTAGGTGGTATCGCGGCGAACGCAAGGGGTCTGCACACAGTGGCACTCTCAATGTGCTCTTTCATGGAACCAGTGCCAGGCCTTTCTAGTGTCCCTGCCGCCACCCCCTCCCCCTAACGCTTTCTCCACACACACACACACACACACACACACACACACACACACACACACACACACACACACAACACACACACACACACACACACACACACACACACACACACAATTACTGCCTGGTTCCTTTCGTTCTCTCTAGGCCTAATTACTATGACTGACACTCCCCTCCATATCATTAAAACTCTTTCGACTTACAATGTTAAAGGCAAACTCATATATTTTTCTGCACATAAACAGCATGAATTGTCACCACTTCTATCCACAAGTCTACCAATACATATGAGATTAAAGTGCCGGCTTTTAACAGATCTCCCTAGCAACCACAGGCCTCACCCTTATCCTCCCTCATCCTAACCACTGGAGCGACCCCCCCCCCCAAGTCAGTCCCAACCTCACCCTATCACCCTAAGTAACCTCGACATGAAAATCAACTCGCAGCATCACCCTTGCAAGGAAACCTTTTACACCTTGTCTTCTCTCCCGTTTTCTCCATGCGTGATACTTTGCTCTCTCTCCTGTGTGCCCAACTTTCTAAAACCTTTCCTTTACAATTTCTTTAATTCTTGCCCATAAAAGGGGTCATATAGTGATGGAATATATCTTAATTTTCACCTCTTTCACAATCTGTTTGTCTGTCCTCCTCTTTCGATCTCGTTCTTTCTCTGCCTGCCTGTCTGCCTCTCATTCACTTACTCGCTTACTTATTCCCTCACCCCCTCCCTCCCTCACTCACTCACTCACTCACTCACTCACTCACTCACTCACTCACTCCTCACTCACTCACCCACCCACTTACTCACTCATCTACTTACTCACTCTCTCTTTGCTCTCCTCTTCTTCACTTTCTCTTCTGCTCTCCTTACTTAGATTGAGTGACTGCAACATAATCCGCCAAATATGAATGACTGCATGACCAACTATACTTAGCTCAAGCGAGTCATGGCGAAGATGGGTAACTGTGTCAGGTACCTGTTGATGAAGCCGCATGATGACATCCCCAGCATGTGGTCCGTACGTCATGCACAAGACCAAACATGATGTGCAGACGCTCTTTCAAAGGTCTTCGCTTTTTGTATAGTGGTTTTGCATATTAAAACACTTCAAATTACGATTTTAACGAGGTTGATTCGACTAAAAATATAACTTTAACATACACTTGTGTGTTCGCTTCAGCTAGATGTGCTCTCTATACAAGAGATGTTGTATCGTCCATTAACGACCTCCTTCAATCAAAACTAATCTTAGGTGTTGATAAACATGTATCTTTATAATTCACCCCTCCCCCTTTAGCCCCATTTATCTCCTCCACCTCCCCTAATTAAAAAAAATAACAGTCATTACGTTTTGCCATTCGATTAATGCTACCCATGATTTCCCCATTAGTGTGGACATTTCATAAATCACACTCATGAGTTAAATGAATGACAACTGCAAGCTATCATTAACGAGGCTTTTGATGACGCCCCAGGGTACAGTTACCTCTTAACCCTGTGCAAACCCACTGGTACTAGAGTTACGAGTGACATTACCAAAGGATAATAGATATAATTTGTGACTGAGTCACTTTCTTGCCCCTTATCCGAAAAACGTCGCCGGGATGAGCGAGTTAAATCCTCAGAGGGAGTCTTTGGCGCCGGGATTCCAGAGACTCAATCTGTCAACTCTTTTCCCGTGCGCCGAATCCCTCAATGCTGACATTTCCTGCTCTTCAAAGATGATAAAGCACCACGTAGACACATCACATCCCAGGCAGCTGAACAGACAAACACACACACACACACACACACACACACACACACACACACACACACACACACACACACACACACACACACACACACACACACACACAATCATTCATACTCGTTTTTTTTAATGATTCCCTCTCTGATGAACCTACTAATATTTTCAGTGGATGTCATTTCCTGTATATTCTTCAACCTCCGTTCCTTCTCCTTTTCACTATTGGCTATTATCACATCACTACCGCAAGCATCGCCATCTCCCATTGCCACATACCTGCCACATCTCACTGTCCTTCCTGGCAGATTCCCTTCTCTCCTGGCTGCTATCATTGTCCTCCTATCACTGTGCTTGCTGCACTATCCCACTCTCATCTCTAGAGCCACCGGGCCGATAATGCGGCACTCCTTGACACCTGACCTAGGTAATGTCATGAGGGAGCTTAAAGGGGGTGTGGCACTTACTTGGAGTGCTTCTCGTTGAGCGATGCACGGCCGCTGTGGCTCCTGGGCTGCGGGATGAAGGAAGCACTGCCGTTGGCCGGAGAGGTGGAGCGGCTGCTGCTCGCCGAGGCGACGGTCTTCAACTGGGAACCTGGTGAAAGAAAACGGGAAGTCAGTCTCAGGAAATGGGAAGCGTATCTGTGAATGCAGGGGATACTTGGCTATTCACAATAAGACGCTATGAGCTTCAACATAGTTAACTTATAATGAGTTATTTTGAAACGTTTAATGTGTGTGCAATACAGAATATATAATACCATACCGCATTACTATAGAAACACACTGGACAATGTTCTATCCAATAATTTACCCAGAAAACAATGTCTTCCCATTTACCGGATAGACTCAGTGAATATATAGTGCAACAACCATTTTACTCTCTATAGGGCCTATGTGATATCAAACGACATTACGTCGAAACGGCACAAGTACACTGGGAAAGACTTCCCAGTCGACACTCTGTCACGCGTCGCGGCAAACGATTTGTAAACATTGGTCCGGTAATCAATTATAGCGGCCTCTGCGCCCCAGCGTCCATCGCCCGACCTCGAAAATCATTACGCATAAATTTCCTCGAGTTTCATTTTCCCTTTTCAGCAACTCGCCATCGCGATGCTCAATATTCAGTGTAAAACAAAAGTAAAACTGCAGAATACCAATAGCGAAAGTGCGACAGTCAGCGTCAGAGGCCAGCATCGACTTCCCAAATAATCGATCCCTGGGCCGGGGGATTCTGTGATGCGGAAAGGCTGCCCAGACGAATACAATTCGGACATCTGGCGGTCGACCGGAAAACTCGTGCGGTTGTCCTGCGTCGATTAACTAACGGATATTGAGTCGGGTAGGGCAAGTGACTCCCAATAAAATCAATGACCAAAGTAAATGATAAAAGAAACACATACACATATATACGTGGGTTTGATTTCGTCTACTGGTCGGTATGTACAGAGTGAAAAGAAAGAAAAAACAAAATCAAAAGTGGAGCGAAGAGTTTGCGCCATTAGAAAACATGCAACAAAAACAGCCACGCCTGAGACAATAAAATATATTTACATCTACTTTCTAGACCGGGAGGCGACAGGTCCGTCACGACAGCCGAGTCGCCGTGGGAAGAACAAGGCTGCTGATATTTCCATACAATGGCCACGTGACTGACGCCGATGAGAAGGAGTTACGGAGCTGACACAGATGCCTACACGAACTTCTAACAAGTAGATGTAAGATTTGGATAAAGAAGAGCAGGGAGAGGGAGGGATGCGAGAACGAGAGAAAGAATGGGAGAAGTAGAGAGGCACAGCCGATAACGTTGAGAAGCATGCGGAGAGAACGGAAAGCTCAAGGGAAGATAAGATCTTGAAAGGTTAGAAGAGGCTAGTGAATGGGGCCCGCGGGTCACTTGGCGAAGAAAAGGGTGACAGCGAAAGAGGTCACAGCTGAATGGAAGGAACAACAGACGGAACAACGATGAAGGGGAGAGAGGCGGAAGAGGGGGAGATGGAGCGCAGATTTCCGACTGTCCCGAGGATGCTTGCGGTGTGTAATGTAACAGCTGATCGTTAAATGACGTGACCGAACCCTGGAAACAGCTGACGGTCGTCGATAATTCTCCAGATTCCCAGAGAAAATGAATATTCATTAATGATCGTGTCAGCTGACATCAGACAACAAAAAACTACCACAAAATCATTACACATTATGCTTGTAAACATATCATTCCCTCTCTCTTTTTTTCCATTTCTCTTTCTCTTTGTGCGTGCGTCACGGTTTTTGTTGGGTGTGTGGCGTAAGCGCTTTGTTCCAAAAGGGCGTCCTCCCTTCGCTCTGTTATTTCAGAGAATATTCACGACTTGTTTTTACTGCTGCTCGAGGATGCTGTTTACCATGACGTATGGCGGGTGCCACGGACAGTCTCTCTGGCGCTGTTTGTCTAGGATCGTCCAGCCGTTCTCGAGGTAGGAAAATGTGCGAGTGGGTGAATAACAGAGAGAGAGAGAGGAGAGAGAGGAAGAGAGAGAGAGAGAGAGAGAGAGAGAGAGAGAGAGAGAGAGAGAGAGAGGAGAGAGAGAGAGAGAGAGAGAGAGAGAAAGAGAAAGAGAAAGAGAAGAGAGAGAGAGAGAGAGAGAGAGAGAGAGAGAAGAGAGAGAGAGAGAGAGAGAGAGAGAGAGAGAGAGAAGAGAGAGAGAGAGGAGAAGAGAGAGAGAAGAGAGGAGAAGAGAGGAGAGAGCGATAGAGAAAAGAGGAGAGAGAAAAAACAGATGAGTGAGTGAGAGAGAGAATGAATGTGAGGAAAAAAACAGAGAGAGAGGAGAGAGAGAGAGAGAGAGAGAGAGAGAGAAGAGAGAGAGAGAGAGAAGAGAGAGAGAGAGAGAGAGAGAGAGAGAGAGAGAGAGGGAGGGAGGGAGAGGAGAGGAGGGAGGGAGGGAGGGAGGGAGGGAGAGAGGGAGAGAGGGAGAGGAGAAGAGAGAGACAGAGATAGAGAGAGAGACAGAGAGAGAAGGACCGGTGTTGACACTGGGACAAAGCCTCGCGACCTCCTGTCTCTTCTGAGAATCGTCCAGGGAGTCTGTTGTTGACCCGAAGCGCAGCCCATCCGCCCACCCTGAGGTGCGGCTTCCTTGCCTTCCACGCTTTTACACCCTTTAAGGTACTTGAACTTTTACAACCTGGGAAAGGCTAAAAGGAGAGGCCTGTTAGACGGGGCGTGACCTTCACGTGACCTTACTATGAACTCTTGGCGCAAAAGAACCATGAATGGAATGCGGAGAAGGAAAAGGAAGGCTGAATGTTGGTACCGTTTATCTTGTTATGGTAGCGAAAGGGATCTCATACATATACATATATATGTATACATATGTACATACACACACACACACTCGAATACTACAACAAATCGCATTGTTGGCGATGCGAACTGCTCATTCTTAAATGATGAAAGGAAAGAAAAAACGTTTATAAAAGAAACATTGGTCGCCGATATATTTAAAGCAAAATACTTTTCATTCGCCATGTCGTATCCCACGGCGATCCCAGAGGTTTCTGTTATGGCCGTGCTTGTACTTTACGCAAGTTTCCCAGTATCCTGCCGCCCGTAAGGCAATTGGGCATCCCAGCTCCGCTACGGAAGACGCCCTCGCCTGCGCACCGAGGCTGACTCACGCGCTCAAGCGTCTGTGCTGGCGGAGAACTTGCCCCCGGCGGTACACTTAGTAATTCGGCGACCGCAACTACAGCTCACTTGGGTGATTCACTCGAAAGTATTTTTTCTTTCGTTTTTTACCTCCTTCCAACATCACGTGTCCTTACCGCAGGAGTATTAGGCTTCTTCGCCAGGCAGACCCATGCCTATGACACATGAACATCTGACCTGGCCACAAGTGTCACTTTTCTCCGGTACTAGGAAGTCCTCAGTCAGTCACCATACGCACTCACACTCACACCATCTTCCTTCTCCTTCTCCGATAAGCACGCAGGAGCAACTGCCCCTCGCCACGCTCCCCTCGAACGGTCAACTGCTGGGCCTGGTAATCCCGGATGAGGGGACGGCGTTCCAGGCTTGTGTTTGACATTCACCCCTCGACTATGGTGCCCCCCCCCCCCCACTTTCCCTCTCTGCCCTCTGTTGGCGTCTCGTGCATTCCCTTCGCATCGTTCAAGTGCGGCTCTCTTTATCTTATTATCCAATTTCCGAAAGAAATCATTCGGGTATGATTTGGACAGACCAATGTCACGCTTTGATGGTCGGGCCGGCTGCGAATTCCTCCGTGTGGGAATCGCTGCCCGAGGCTTCCAGATATGTTGCGAGGAATGAGTCGCGGCTCCCGACCCCGACACGGCGCTGCGCCATCGCATCACCTCATGCAAAGCCAGGACCCAATATCCCGCAAGGGGAGATGTGCGGGAACCCAAGGAAGAGAAAAGCATGCCGTGACAACGCCACCTTTTTCGTGTTGTCATGGTTGGAGAGAGGGGAGGTGGGGGCAAGTATACACACACACACACACACACACACACACACACACACACACACACACACACACACACAGACACAGAGAGAGAGAGAGAGAGAGAGAGAGAGAGAGAGAGAGAGAGAGAGAGAGAGAGAGAGAGAGAGAGAGAGAGAGAGAGAGAGAGAGATTTATGGGAACAGAGAAATAACAGTACGGAGCTCAGTCGACTGGAAAGAAGTAACTTTCACACGCCCCTCCCCCCTCCACCCCGAAAAAAGTACGGCGACGGAATAAAAGAAAGGAACGCAATGCGAGACGACACGAACGGGGTTGAGAGGACGCCGGCAATGCAAACAGGACATCGAACCTTCAGAGAAACAGTCAAATGGGTCAATGCCTAATGATCGGATGGTGGGGGGGGGGGGGGGGGTCGAGAGATGGGGGCAAGCCATGGAGTGGAGGAGCAGGAGGAGAAAGCCAGGAGGGGGGGGGGTGAAGATGGGGGAGCGGGAGGAGGGTATGTGTGTGTGGGGAAGGGATAATATCCGATAATATCCGAATCCCCTCTCCTCCCCGCCAACTGTACATCCACCCTCCCGCCCTTTGTCCGCGCTAAGATAAATGGGCGTCGTTGTCATTCCCCGTAACACCTTCCGCTAAGCCGTGGCCGTCGTCGCCGCCCTTAAATGGCCCGGATCCCTAATCCCGCGTGTATTTTGTCATTCGCCGACCTTGAGCCAAAATAAAGGGAAAAAAACACGCTGATTATATTTCTCATTGTAGGACCAAAAATACATGTGTCAAAACCATCGCTATCATTCATCATTATCTTTCATCCGCCCGTGTGTGTGTGTGTGGTGTCTGTGTGTGTGTATGTGTGTGTCCTGTGTGTGTGTGTGTGTGTGTGTGTGTGTGTGTGTGTGTGAGTGTGTGTGTGTGTGTGTGTGTGTGTGTGTGTGTGTGTGTGTGTGTGTGTGTGTGTGTGTGTGTGTGTGTGTGTGTGTGTGTGTGCGTGTGTGTGTGTGTTGTGTGTGTGTGTGTGTGTGTGTGTGTGTGTGTGTGTGTGTGTGTGTGTGTGTGTGTGTGCTGTGTGTGTGTCGCTATCATGGTTATCTTTCATCCGCATTATGTGTGTGTGTGTGTG